GCGTCGATCATTTGATCCCATAATAAAAATTTTACACATGTGATTTGCACGACATCACGGCTGACTGCTATAGATGTATTTTAGTAGTCATTTTTATTAATACAAAATTAACAAATTATAATTTTGTTATTTAAAAAAAACAATTATTAGCAAATCTTTTAATAATACTAATTAAAAATCTAATTTTTTTGCTTTTTCTTTTAATTCAATCTTTTTAGCAAATAAAGATGTTCTATAGAATAGGTGGGCAAACTTTGCAAGCTCTACAACTCTACTATTATAAGATTAATAATTACTAATAATTAGTGAAGCTTATTTCTTATATTGCTTACCTATTTTATAGAATATCCACAAATAATTCTAATCTAACTTTTTCATTTTCTAATTTTTGTTTTCAATTGCTATAAATGATTCTTGTTTTTTAATTTCAAGTGCAATTTCTCTTTCTTTAATAGAAATTTCTATTTCTTTTTCTTTTAAAATAAATTTTTTTTCTTCTCTTGACAATTCAAAATTTGAAATTTCAGCATAATTTGATAATAATTCTTCAGTTTTTTTTGAAGTAGCTATTGTTTTTGACTTTTTTTTAATAGATGTAGTTCTTTAAATACCCTTTTGTTTTTTTGTACTAATAATTTTTTTACTTTAGTGAGCTTCCACTTATTACATAAATATAGCCCCCTCCAGAGTTAGTCATTTGACAATTACAAGTTCTAAAGTAATCAATCGTTTGACAATTGCAAGCTCTAAAAAAATAACAAATCGTATAAAATTTATATATGATTACTTTAGAAATTGTAATTGTCAAATGACTAACTCTGGAGGGGGCTATATTTACGTAATAAATGGAAGTTCCCTTAATTATTAAAAATTAATAATTTATAATTTAATAAAATAATAAATAATTTATATTAATAAGTAAAAATTAAAATATTATTAATAAACTTACCTTTATGTTTATTTGCATTATATTTTTTTTGTATTATACTAGTATCTTTATTTGTTTTAGAAATAGAAAATTTTTCATAAATTCCAATACTTTTATAAGCTAGCAAATCAAAATTCTATCCTCTTTAAAAAAATTTAAAATTAATAAAATTTATTTTAATAGACAATCC